GCAGGGCAGCTTGCACGAGGAGATCTGGCTGCGCCGCCCACCTGGCTTCACTAAGTCGTTTCTTGCAAGTACCCAGTGGAGCCTCCGGTGGCCAGTCTACGGTCTCCGCTAGGCGCCTCGCGAGTGGCACGATACACTGAGGACTACACTTGTGGCTCTGGGGTTTACTCCTTCTGCTGCCGACCCGTCGCTGTTTCTACGCACCGACAAGTCTCTGCCGCCGTTTACGTCTTTGTGTACATCGACGACCTTGTCTTCGCTACTTCTGACACTGAGATACTGACCCTTGTGAAGTCCGAGCTGCAGAAGAGACACACCTGCACTGACCTGGGTGAACTGCGTAGCTATCTTGGCTTGTAGATTTCCCGGGACAGAACACAGCACACCATCACACCGACTCAGTCACACATGGGGCTAGTGCTTGGAGGAAGAGGTCCAGTTGTCCTCATTGGTCATGCAGACGCTTCTTGGGTCGACGACTTAGCTACGTAGCAGTCGTCACAGGGTTACACCTTCAGCCTCGGTTCCGGCTCTGTTTCCTGGCGGTCTACTCGCTCGTCTTCGGTTCTCAGCTCCAGCTGCGAGGCTGAGATCTATGCAGGGGCCATGGCTGCACAGGAGCTACGCTGGCTCACCTACTTGCTGACTGACTTGGGAGAGTAGCCTCGTTCTCCTCCAGTTCTGTACGTAGACAACAAGGCCATGATTGCCTTATGTCAGGAGCACAGACTGGAGCAAAGAACGAAGCACATCGCTCTGCGATACTTCCATGCTCGTGACCAGCTTCGTCTCGCGTACGTGGCCACTCGGGCCAACACTGCTGATATATTCAGCAAGGCACTTTCGCATGGTGATCATGAGCGCTTCTCTACTGTTTTAGGCCTTGTGCCTACTTTGCCTCACCTGCTCACTGCGTGACTTTGCTTGTACTGTGATATGTATATATACCTGCATGCTTACACTTGCTAGGGCATTATCATTGTATTGTTTGTTCAGTTTTATATAACTCTGCATGTGAACTGGCCTTGTGGCCCTTTGCTTATGCTTGGACTGTGTGGTGACTTTGTGATCCACCCTGAGCTTGCTTTGCTTTTCTTGACTGGTATTGTGACCACTTGTTCTCCCCCACTTTGCCTATGAGGGTGTGTCAGAATGTTATAGGGCTTACATTTGTGTAGGCTATAGTGGGGTAGCCCAAATGGGGTACAACCCAATTAGGGTCAGTACTTGTACCCAACTCTTTCATAGTTCATTCATTTTCTTGTTCGTTAGTTTGACAATTTACAATGCGGTAACTAATGTGTGGTTGATTATTTCCACGGTTGATTCATACCATGTTTGTGATTATGGGCCCAATTGGGGCATTTCATAACTGTTACCTTGGTATTAAGAATGATTTATATTGCGAGAACAACTTCCTAAATTTAAATTAGAACTCTACTTTGAGACCCTTAAACGTGTGCGGGGACGAATGTCCCCACGTCCCTCTTTTGTAGGCGCATATTGAAACGTCATGGTAGTGACGCTCCACTGAAACAATGTTAAATCTCTTTGTGCCATGGGTCCACTATGATGACGGATTAGAAAGTCGTGATGCAGTGCCGACACAGCTCCCCATCCAGCTGCATTTACAACATTTGCGTGAAACCATGTTTCAATATTACACTTCTTTGTGAACTTCTTGTGCGTCATACATTATCTAATGGAATGTTGACCTCTACAACCATTATATATGTGTCAAAATGTTATAGGGCTTACATTTGTGTAGGCTATAGTGGGGTAGCCCATAAGGGGTACAACCCAATTAGGGTTAGTACTCGTACCCAACTCTTTCATAGTTCATTCATTCTCGTTTGTTAGTTTGACAATATGTTTATAAACAACAATAATAAAGAACTAAACTGTAGCTGTCCTTGGCACGTAACGGTATGCGTGCGCGATAACATCGAACCCTAAACCCGGCCAATGGACCGTTCATATGCGCGTTGTCTTACGACCAGTCATATGCTCATGCGCATATCACCGGTCATATGCGGAGGAATCAGGGCCCAAAATATCAGGGTAAAATGCCCCGATTACTGTCATTATGTCATACTGCTTACATTTGTGTAGGCTATAGTGGGATAGCCCATAAGGAGTACAACCTAATTAGGGTAAGTACTTGTACCCAACTCTTTCATGGTTCATTCATTCTTGTACGTTCGTTTGACATGGTTTTCATAGCAGGTCCTTCCTTAGGACCGTTTTCTTGGGCCCACCATAGCGCTGCCCCACTATCTGCCCTACTGCCCCTAGCGATCCTCGTGTCGCTCCTGCTGCCCCGCGCGCCGCCCTTGTGCGGCCCTGTCTGTTGACCCTAGGCCCCGGCGCCCCATCGACCTTAGGCTCCCGGCACCCCGTCGACCCTAGGCCCCGGCGCCCTGTCGACCCTCGACCCCGGTCCACCCCGTCGACCCTAGGCCCCCGCCCGCCCCGTCGACCCTAGGCCCCGGCGCCCCGTCGACCCTAGGCCCGCGCGCGCCCCGTCGACCTTAGGCCCCCCGGCCTACCCCGTCGACCCTAGCCCGCGCGCCTCGTCGTCCCTCGGCCCCGGACCAGCCCCGTCGACCCTAGGCCCGCGCCCGCCCCTTCAACCCTAGGCCCCGGTGCCCCGTCGACCCTCGGCCCCGGACCCGCCCAGCCGGCCCTAGGCCCGCGCCCGCCCTGTTGACCCTAGGCCCCGGCGCCGCGTCGACTCTAGGCCCCGGCGCCCCATCAACCCTAGGCCCCGGTGGCCCCCCCCCCCCCCCGTCGACCCAAGGCCCCCGGCCCGCCCCGTCGACCCTCGGCCAGCGCGCTCCGTCGACCCTCGGCCCCGGACCCACCCTGTTGGCCCCAGCACCGAGCGCGCCGCCCATTTTGGCCCGCCCCTCGCCCCTGCAGCCCGGGAGCCGCCCTTGCAGCCCCGCGCGCCGCCCCTGGTGGCCCCCTCGCTGCCCCTGCTGCTCTACTAGCAGCCCCTTGCAGCCCTCTCACCGCCTCTTGCAGCTCACTTGCCGCACCTTGCTGCTACCTGCCCTGCTTCTCCCTGCTCTGCGTGTTGCGCCACTATGGCTTCTCTCTACGTGCTGGCGTTCGATCATGAGGGACGCCCTATATAGTTTGACACGTGGCTCGACAACCTACAGCTGTACCTACTGAGCGACTCTAGGGACAGCGTCTCGTTGTTTGACCACGCGTCAGACGCCACTCCCGCCCATCCCGCCACAGCTGACAGTGCGACTCGCTCACAGTGGCTTACTCGTGGCGCTGCTGCTTGCTTAGCCATTCGCAACCACCTGCCACTGGACGAATGCGCTCACTTTGGACAGCACAGGACCGCACAGGTACTGTACGACGCTGTAGTCGCCCGTTACTCCTCGCTTGCCACTGCTGCTCTCGGCCGTCTTCTACTGCCCTACCTGTTTCCCAAGTTGTCTGCCTTTGCCACAGTAGAGGACCTGGTTTCCCACCTTCGCACTAGCGACGCTCGCTACCGAGGCCGCCCCAGCTGAGTTCCTTGCCAGGAACCAGCCCCCGATGTCAATAAATCTCTACTTTATAGTCACCCGCCTCCCTGGCTCTCTTCGCTCTGTCAGGGACCACTTTATCTCACTTGACCCCACAGTCCTCACTGTTGACCTACTTGAGCAGCACCTCCTCGCAGCTGAGACTACTGTTGTCGCTATAGGTGCTGCTCGTGGCACTCCGCGCACGCCCTTGTTTGAGGGGTGCTCCCCCTCCCCCTTTGCCCCCTCCTACGCCTCTGCTGCTGCTGTTGACGTCCCTGTTGCTGAGGACGTCGGGGCTGCATCTGATAGTGCAAAACGTCGCAGCAGCAAGGGCAAGGGTGGCAGGGGTGGTGGCGGTGGCTGCGGGAGTGGTGGTGAAGGCAGCACTGGAGGCGGTGGAGGCAGTGGAGGTGGTGGCGGTAGTGGGAGTGGTGGCGGGAGTGGGGGCTTTGGTGGCGGCAGTGGAGGCAGCGGTGGAAGTGGCGGTAGTGGCAGCGGTTGGAGTGGTGGATGGCAACCAGCATCACCACACCAAAGCTGTTAAGACCAATCAGAAAGAGGGACAGGAGAATGGAGATTAATATGAGACATTTCAGAGGAGCATTTCTATGCCCTACCCACATCACAAATGGAAATAGTAAAATACATTTCTATGCTCACACTTGCTGCTGGAGTGTTCCAATCACTCAAGTGGTAGCCACAGATGGTTTCTTACTCAACTCGAAATAAATATCTTCACCCGCTCACCTGTGGCCTTGTGGGACTTGTAATAGGCAGGGTCCACATAGCCCGGAGTCCCCATCACTCGAGTGGCAGTCACAGACGTGCCCATAGCAGTGCCTCCAGTGAGCTTTAGCGGTGCCTCCAGTGCTCGGATCCGGGTCCGCCCAGCACGATCGTGTTTGGCACAATCCTAGATACCTTAAGACAAGATTCCAGCTCTTTTTACCTTCAAACGGGCCCGCCGCATGATGAACCGTCCCCCTATAAGGGCCTTTGTGAGCCCGGGAAGCTGCGAAATCCGTACCGGTAGAAAATGCGAAGCAATGCTACTCGGATCTGGGACCACCCAGCACGATCGTGTTTGCCACAATCCTAGATACCTTAAGACAAGATTCCAGCTCTTTTTGCCTTCAAACGGGCCCACCGCATGAAGAGCCGTCCCCCTATGAGGGCGTTTGTGAGCCCGGGAAGCTGCAAAATCCGTACCGGTATAAAATGTGAAGCAATGTTACACGGATCCGGGGCCGCCCAGCACGATCGTGTTTGCCACAATCCTAGATACCTTAAGACAAGATTCCAGCTCTTTTTGCCTTCAAACGGGCCCGCCGCATGAAGAACCGTCCCCATATAAGGGCGTTTGTGAGCCCGGGAACCTGAACAACAGTTTGTACGCAAAATTAAGGTAGTCAATTGCACCAAGTGCTTTCAACATGTCAAGACATGCTAGTAAAAGAAAAAAACAAAATGTTAGGTTGGCGACTTGTCAAACAAAATGCAAGGAGAAAACATAGTTAGACGTACATGCATTTTTGCATCAAGCAGAATGTTGGCTGGCTTGATGTCGCGATGCACAATGCCAAAGTCATGAAGATATTGCAACCCCTTGGCCACTCCAATCAGAACATCCAGTCGTTGCAACAGAGAGAGATGACTTGGAGCTCCTAGGAAGGTGTAATGGAAGAATTGGTTCCAATGGGAATGTTATTGAATTGCTTGTCCTTAAGGAATGGACATTGAACTATGAAAAAAGGGTTTGGAAGGCATAATACAAGGTATGCGGCACGGCAAGTGCAGGGCACATGGGCCACTCAAACCTTCCAATCTATAAACTCACGTCACACTCAGAAACTACTCCAAGTTACTGGCTATCAAAGAGTATAATAAGACATCCATAATAGAGAAGTGAAGTTTTATTACCTGGTCCAATCCAGCTCTCCAAGTCCCGGTTGGCCATGAACTCATACACGAGCACCTGCTCAATCTGGCCCGTGCTGGAATCATAGTGCACACAGAAGCCCAACAGGCGCACCAGGTTGGGGTGGTGCTTACTGGCCATCTCCTTCACCTGCGAGATGAGAGAGGAAAAACAAAAAGGGAGTAGGCAAGAGGAAGAGAGTGAAGTGAATGTGTTTATAATAGTCTATGCATGTGTGAACAAGAATGGTACTGTAATGATATCTGAATAAACACAACAGCAAAATCCAAGTGCCAAATTCATCACATGCGATATTGGGAAAAATAAAAAAGGAAGAGGGCAAGAGGGAAACTGTGTGTATGTGTTTGACAACGTGTTGTGAAGAAATCAGGAATGGATGAACTAGGAAATGAGTTGGGTACAAATATGAAACCCTAGAAAACTGTACCCCGTACTGTCTACTCCACTACAGCCTACAAACACTAAGGCATATATATCTGACACACCCCCATAGGCAAAGTGGGGGAGAACAAGGGGTCACAAGACCAGTCAAGGAAAGTAAGGCAAAACAAGCTCAGGGTGGATCACAACGTCACCACACATTCTGAGCACAAGTTCAAAGGCCACAAGGCCAGTTCACATGCAGGTATATATATATATATATATATATATATATATATATATACATAGCTAAACATGCAAGTGCAGGAATATATAGGTCACAGTACAAACAAGGTCAAGAATTGAGCAAATGAGGCAAAGTAGGCACAAGACCTAACAGAGTACAGAAGCGCTGATGATCACAAGGAGCGAGTGCCTTGGTGAAGATATCATCAGTGTTGGCTTGAGAGGCCACGTAAGTAAGTCGCAGCTGACCATGCTGCTGCACCTCACGAGCAAGGAAGTAGCGAAGAGCAATGTGCTTCGTTCTGTGCTCCAGTCTGTGCTCCCGACACAAGGCCAGCATGGCCTTGTTGTCTACGTACAGAGCTGGAGGAGAACGAGGTGGCTCTCCGAGGTCAGTCAGCAGGTAGGTGAGCCAGCGTAACTCTTGTGCAGCCATGGCCCCTGCGTAGATCTCAGCCTCACAGCTGGAGCTGAGAACAGAAGAAGAGCGGGTAGACCGCCACGAAACAAAACCGGAACCAAGGCTGAAGGTGTAACCCTGTGACGACCGCTCAGTAGCATGGTCTTCCACCCAAGAAGCGTCTGCGTGACCAGTGAGGACCACTGGACTCCGCCCTTCAAGCACTAGCCCCATGCTCGATGTACTGCACAAGTAGCGCAACACCCTCTTCGCTGCAGCCATGTGCTCAAGTCTGTGTCTCCCAGGAGCAACATAGCGTGCTAGAATGCTAAGAGGGTATGCAAGGTCAGGTCGTGTGCAGGTCATCAGGTACATGAGGCAGCCAACAAGCTCTGGGTACGGGCCACTCGGCTCTACAGACTCATCCGAAGGCAGAGCTGAGAGCGAGTGGCGAGTAGACAGAGGAGTGGCCTGAGGCGAGGAGTACGTGAAGCCGAAGCGCTGAAGGACCTGCTGCACCATGTGTGACTGAGTCAGGGTAATGGTGCGATGTGCTCTGTCCCGGGTGATCTGGAAGCCAAGGTAGCTACGCATTTCACCCAGGTCTGTGCACGTGTGTCTCTTCTGCAGCTCGGACTTCACGTGGGCGATTACAACAGTGTCAGCTGTGGCAAAGACCAAGTCGTTGACGTACACGAGGATGTAGAACGGCAGCAAAGAGGTGTCGGTGCGCAGAAACAGTGACAGGTTGGCAGTAGAAGGAGCAAACCCAAGAGCCGCAAGTGTAGTCCTCAGTGTGTCGTGCCACTCACGAGGCGCCTGGCGGAGACCGTAAAATGGCCGCCAGAGGCTCCATTGGGTACCAAGAGGAAAAGACCCAGTGAAGCCAGGTGGGCGGCGCACCCAGATCTCCTCGTGCAGGCTGCCCTGTAGGAAAGCAGTGCTGAAGTCAAGAAAGTGAAGCTCGTAGTCGCGCCGAGCGGCTATGTGCAGCAGTACCCAAAGAGTGGTCATCTTTGGGGTGGGAGAGAAGGTCTGAAAGTAGTCAACACCCTGCCGCTGACTGAAGCCTCGAGCCACGTAACGCGCCTTGAAGACAGGCGGAGAACCCGGCGGCCGCTTCACCCTGAAAATCCACATGCCACTGACGATGTTTGCCCCAGGTGGGGGAACCTCGTCGACGTAGGTGCGTGTGGACTTCCACGAAGCCATCTCTACATCCATGGCTGCCTGCCACTGAGAGGAGTAGGGACCTTCTTTTGCCTCCGCGTAAGAGCGCGGAGTCGGGATGTCTGGTGCATCCGAGTCTCCCTCAGGGGCAAGCAGCATGGACACGAGATGAGGTGAAGCAGCAGCAAGACAATGGAACTCCTCCTGCCTGTCCTCAAGGACGTCCGTGCCAAAGGCACACTCACCCCCGACGGACGGAGGACAGACAGACTCAGACTCAGCGACAAGACTAGCATCGTAGTCTAGACGACAGCGAGCAGCGAAGTTGACAAGCTCAGCAACTAAGGCAGACGCAGCAGTGGACTCAAAGAAAGGGTCAGTGACGATAGTAGCAAGGAGACGCGTGACAGTGGGACTGGCAGCTCGAAGGAAGTCCGACTCCGGGTCAGCAAGAGCAGGAAGAGAGGACTCAGGAGGAGAAGGCAAAGGGGCACGCAGTGGAGCGGTGGAAGGACGCAGAGACATCCGGTGCGTGCCGAGGACACGGGGAGGACGCTGATGCGAACCACGACCACTAGTGCGAGCAGCACGGACAGGCGACGCAGAGCGAGACGAAGGCTCACGACGCTCAGCAAGACCTCTAGTAGGACCAGTGTAGGGAGAAGGAGCAGGCAGTGGGAAGGCTGGCTGTAACTGTGACTCAGACTGGACAGGTGGCGGACACTCTAAGGGAGGAGCAGGACCAAGAGAGGACGGAAAACCAAGAACCTGCTCAAGGAGCGGAACAAAGTACGGTCGCGGCCGTGCAGTGCCACCACAACCAGCAGGAACAGCACCAGCACCCCCAACGGCAGCACCTGCACTAGTAGCACCCCCATCTCCAGCAGCGCCAACTCCAGCACCCTCAGAAGCACCAGCGCCAGCAGCACCTCCAACGCCAACACCCCCAGCACCTCCAGCTCCAGCCGGACCACCAGAAGACGCAGCAGCTCCAGCTCCAGCACCACCAGGAGCACCTACGCCAGCAGCACCACCAGCTCCAGCACCAGGAGCACCCGCAGGCCCAGCAGCTCCAGGACCCTTAGGACGAGCACCTCTGGGACCCGCGACACCAGCACCCTCAGCATCAGTAGAATCTCCAACGCTAGCAGCACCTCCAGCTCCAGCAGTACGGCTCCAGCGCCGAGCAAACCACTCGCGCAGCTCCTGTGGAGAGAGTAGCTCCCGCAGAGACGAAGCACCCAAAAGGACCTCTAGGCCCCGTCCCGCCAGACGTCACATGAGCAGGCCCAGCACCCCCAGGCTCCGCACCCCCAGGCTTAGCACCCCCAGTCTCAGCACCCCCAAGCTCAGCACCCCCAGACCCCGCACCCGCAAGCTCAGCACCCCTAGCAGCACCAGAGTCAACAGCTACCTCGACAGGCTTGACTGCGTCTACCTGGGTCACACCTTAGGGGGCAGGACCCTGAGGGGGGATGGGGTCTACCGGGGGGGGATCTGGCGCGAGGAAGAGCGGTGGCAGGGGGAGGGACGCAGTGCGGTAGGGGAAGAGACGGTAGTAGGGAACCGACTCGTCAAACATGACGTTCTGGGAGGACAGAATACGGCGCGAGGTGGGGTGGTAGAACTGCCAACCTGGCGCGTCAGGGGGGAAGCTTAGGAAGACGCAGGGAACAGCGCGGGGGGACAGCTTGTCCGCAAACAAGTCGCGGACAAACGCCCGAGATCCCCAGACACGGAACACAGACGCATCGCCAACCTTCCCCGTCCACCGCAGAGCAGGGGAGGTCTTCGGCATGGAGACCCGGGGCTGAAGGTTGATCTGATGCGCCGCGTACTGAACCGTGAACGGCCACAAAAAATTGGGGCAGCTGCATGGATCATGGACGTACGAGCGACGTCCATGACCATGCCAATGCGGCGCTCAGCAATCCCATTTTTCTTTCGAGAGGCCGGAAGCGTGAACGTCCGACGGATGCCTCGTGCACGGCAGAAGGCTTGCAGAAGGTTAGAGGAGAACTCTCCGCCTCTGTCGTAGTGCAGACGCAGAACAGGAAAGTCCGAGCCGAAACTCTCTCTGAGCTGGAGACGAGTTGCGTGGATCTAGTCGATCAACACCCCAGTGACCTCACCCTTGTTGCGCAAGGGGAAGACTGTGGTGTAACACGATTAGTCGTCAACCACCAGCAGGAAGTAACGCTCGTGACCCTGTCCACGGAAGCGGGCTGGGCCCCACACGTCCATGTGAAGCGTTTGCAGCGGAGCCTCTGTCGAAGGAAACTCAGAGGAGTGAGGAGCAGCGTGCTGCTGCCCCTCTACGCAAGGAACGCAGGTACGGCAGGCCCCGGAGGAAGAGGAGGGAGGGACCGGGGGAGACCAGAGACAAGGACACGGGAGGCCATGCCTCGGAGACGAGGCAGGGAGGGGTGACCAAGGCGGTGGTGCCAGAGGAGAGTCTGGTGAGACAGGAGACGACACGAGCAGGGGGCAGACGCAAGACCAGTCCTGGACACCGCAGCAGACACCTGACGTGACTCAGCTACCTGACCAGACTCGGCAACCGGAGGAGACTCAGTAGTCAGTGTGTACAGGCCCGACCCCGGCCGACGGGTAAACGTGGCCAAGTGTCGGCCCGTCCGAGCACACGTGCAGTGGGTCAGTCGCTGACTCGCATGAGTGAACTGGTGAACACCCCCAACCTGTAGATCAGAACCACTCACCAAGTTTGTAGAGAACGAGGGGAGGTAAAGACCTGACAAGGTGCGAGAGGGGGCCGCCGGACACGGTAAGACAGTGGAGAGGTGGGCAAGGACAGGACCCCTAGAGGGGTCTACCAGGGAGACCGCAACTGGCCGACTAAGCGGCGTGAGTGTGGTGCGGTCTCGAAAGAAAGAGCGGGAAGCACCCGAGTCAAGGGTGAAGGTGTGGGAGGCCTGAGCCGACG